ATAGATAGATAGATAGATAGATAGATAGATAGATAGATAGATAGATAGATAGATAGATAGAAATAAAATATAGCATTTACATATATTATTTACCCAAAAATCTGAATAAGGTTTATTGCCTTGTTAAGGAAGTGTGGATTTATCTTTTTGTTTGCTGTGAAAAACTGAAACTTCAAACAGGTAAAAATATATGTATAATAATATCAACTTTTTAAATGCTTCTTCAGAAAATTATTGAATTTCATTCAAATTAAAGACAGTCTAAATGGTCATTTTAGTGACTAAAATTAGCAGACGAGAGCTAGCAGAGGTGAACATTAGCAGAAAGCTATTAGCAATGACATACCTGTCAAAGCAGCCATATCCTGGAATATCAAGGGGAGAATTATTCCCCATAGAAATTTTTGTAACGGGCTGTAAACATACTTTTTAATGCAGGGATGTTTTGCTTTTTTAGTATGGGAATCTACTCTCTATTTAAAGAAGAGGGCTTTTGAAGAAGGAAGTAAAGCAACTGTAGTTTTTGGCACTTCTGCATAAGCCTCACTTTTCAGCTCCAGAGAGTACAGCTGTGATATTACACAGAAGAGGGAACACCCACTACTTTTTCTGTCTATATCTATATGTACTGCATGCCATCCATCTATTTCAGTTTTTCCTTATCTGCTTCATGGATAAAATATCTACCCTGGACCCATTGTGAGACTAATTTTTAATTTTGGCATTTATAAATGAAATTAGCTACACTTTATGTAGAGACACAGTTTAAAAGATGAATACTAAACACAAGGATTTAGCAAGCAAGAAAGGCAGAGGTCAGTTAGTTGAATTATGGGAAATATATGTCCCTAGGCTGTTTCTGGAGTTTGGGAGAGAATGGGCTAACATAGTTCACTGTCTGCGGCTTTCATTTTGCTCATTTTAAGTCTGTCTCTTGCATGTGTAATAACTTTATGGAATTGCTAAACTTGTTTCATCAACTCATTAACACAGAGTATTTTTAACCCCATATCACTGGTTTCCAACTTTTGAAAGAAATGAAAAATATGTACTTGTGAGCACCATAGCAAGTCGTGCCCAACAGATCAATCAGAATTGAAAGAAAAAATTCAGAAGAAAAATTAAACATAGTTTTGTTTTTTTATCCTTTAAATGTTAGAGCAAACTTTAGTATTAAGGCTCCAAAGGTGGGAAGCACTCCCTGTACATAAGTTCAAAAACGGAGTTCATGGATCCACATACCCAGATCTGAATATGAGGGTGCCTTGTTGCCAGAGCCGCACCAGAGAGTCCCGGGTACAATAAAACCGCGCTTTACACGCTTATGTATGCTGACCTCTGACCTCTCATCTTGACCTTGAACACGAACACTCCTCACCGACCTCTTTCCTGTGGGTTCCCCGAGAGACGCCAGGGAGACGCACTGCCCTTCTGTCTCTAACACGGAGTCCAAATGGACATTTTCATTCGGATGCTCTGAAAAGCCCCGCGCGCGCTCCCGGCACAGAGACAAATAGTTCTGGGTCACCGCTGTGTCGTCGCTCCAAGTGCAGCCAAGCAGAGCGCGCTCCCCGGACCAGGCGGTGTGGTACAGCCGCAGAGATGGAGGTGTCTGCTGCGGGTCGCTACGGAGAAAACTGTAGTGCATTTCTCCGTTAGCAGAAACTTTAGTCCACGTGCAGAGAACCGAGGCTGCTGCTGCGGTGCAGCTCAGGAGTAATGATGTGCAGATGAGAGTAACAAGTGGAGCGATGCGCATCATGGTGGCGGCGGGTCGAGGAGGACAGCAGCTGAAGGAAACAGGCTGGGGAACGGTTTCACTTCAGTATTGTTGTTTCACTCTCTGAGGACTTACGGACAGATCGACAGATTCCAGGTCGATTTTAAATGAGAAGAGGAGGAGGAGGGTGGTGAAGGAGGAGGAGGGTGCTCGGGTGATCCGGTGGTACTAAAATAAACACCAAACCACCCATGTGACCTGTTAGCATAGCCAAACACTTTACTCCCGCCCCCACACAGCCACGCAAGGACACACACACACACTATCTGTCCCACATCACAGACAGTGACCATGATACACACTATTGACAACACCCACCAAACCCACCCAGACACATACCCACAGGCAGCACGCTGCTACCAATCTACAAATGTATCTTTAAAAGTGATAGACACTCCCCAAAAACATTCTGACAACCTTATCAGTGTTTTCTGACTGACAGATGGAAATCTCTTGGAACTCCTGGGAGATTTGCTTTTATATTCAGTCCTTTCTCACTTTCTCCAACCTATGTCAAGGCAGAAACTTTTAAACCATAATCCAAAAGCCTGCCTGCTTTTGGATTATGGACCTTTTACTACTATTTCTCAATCTTTTTTTTTAATTGACCTAAAGTGAAGCACTGCCCTCTTATGATCTCTAATCACAGGTTATGTCATTAGTGTTAGGTACACTAGGCTGGTGCCAGATTCTGTTGTGCTTTTAATCCTTTATGGGATAAATTCAACAAGCTGTTAGAAATATTCCTCAAAGATTTTGCTCCATGTTGACAGGAGCTGTCAATTACACATCCATGATGTAACTCTAGTTCAACCACATCCCAAAGGGGATCTGTTGGTTTGAGATGTAGTGACAGTGGGGACCATCTGAGTACAGTGAACTCATTGTCAAGAAACCAGTGTCAGAAGATTTGAGCTTTGTAATGCGGAGCGTTATCTGGCTGGAAGCAACTATCAGAAGATGTATGGTTATAAAGGTCCTCAACAACACTGAGTAGTTAGGCTGAGAAGTTTAAATGGTACTCAGTTTATACTAAGGGGTCCAAAGGATGACAAGAAAAAAACTCTTTTGATAATTTGATGCAAACTGTAGCCTCGGATTCCTGTTCTTAGCTGGCAGAAGCATCACCTAGTGTGGTCTTCTGCTGCTGTAGCCCTTCTGATTCAAGGTTGAATGGGCTACGCATTCAGAGATACTCTTCTATATACTTTGGCTGTAATGACTGGTTATTTCAGTTACTGCTGCCTCTCTCTCAGCTTGAAGCAGCCCGTCCATTCCTCTCTGTCTGCTGGCATCAACAAGGTGAGAACTGCTGTTCAGTGGATATTTTGGGAGAGATAGTTGAATAGGAAAACCCCAGTAGAACAGGATCTGAAATATTCAGAGCTGCCTGTTTGGCACAGACCAACAAGCATGCTTTGTTCAAAATCACTGAATCACCTATTCTGATGCTCAGTTATAACTTCAGCAGTCGTGATCATGTCTACATGCAAAATGCACTGAGTTTCTTCCATGGGATCTGCAGGTTACATATTTGTGTTAATGAGGAGTTAAGCAGGTGTACCTAATGATGTGGCCAGTAACTGTATTGCAGTGAGCAGCCCAACCAGGCAGACTGTTCTCTTCAAGTGTGCCTAAAATAGTATTTGAGTGTTGACATAGTTTTGTGATAGAGAAAAATATAATCTGTAATCTTATATAATCCGTGGACCCAGAAACATCCTCACCTACAGAAGATACTTGAACTAAAAAAATGAAAGACCACAGATGGTGTTTTGTGTCCATTTGACCTTTTTTTTCCACTCCGCTTGTCTCGTTCCAGGGTCATTTTGTCTTTTTTAGCAGTTTTTATTTTATTTTTCAATGACTGCCACACTCTGTAGTCCTTTTGCATCTTGTTTTTGCAAGCTTGCATACTTATGCTACATTGCTCTCTTTCTTATGATTTTTTTTGTTCTTTTTTTGTGGTTGTTTTGTTTGTAGTCATTGAGTCTCCCCTTGCAATTTGTGTCTTTTTAACCTCTCATTATAGTAGGTTTCCTCTTTGTCTATTTTATTGTCATTTCACCTCTCTTTTGGTGATTTTGTTTACTGTTGTGGTCATCTTTTATCCTTTTTCTCTTTTTCTGTTCTCTGTTTGCTTCTTTTATTACCAGGTCATCTGTCTTTATCCCTTCTTGTGATTTTTGTGTCATTTTGTGTCACTTAGTAGCCATTTTGCATTTTTATAGCCATTTTATCACATCATTGTTGTCTCTCGTGTGTTGCTCCTGTGATTGTTTTGCTTATCTTTATATATTCATTTAGTCTCCTTATCTTTTTGTTGTAATGGTCTGTAATGTGTTTGTGTGTTGACATTTTTTGCTCTTGGTTTTTGTGTTTGCATTTTTTTTTCTAGAGTCAGTAAAGTGTTCATTGCCATTATATAGTTTGATGCAGACCTTTGCAGAGTTTCACGGCTTAATTCTACACAGCCTTTTGCTCTGTCTGAAGGTCTTGGAGTTGAAATGTAAATATTGGAGTTCTTGCCAGGCCTATCTTTTCAGCTGTGGTAGAACCTTTCTGATAACATCAAAAGTGAGATCATAGCTCGTAGATCATTCAAGATCAGACTTTTTTAGAGTGTAATGAGTCTATAAACTTTCCCCCAGTTAGACAGAAGAAGTTTTATCAGGAGAAGTCAAAGTTCACAAATTTTTCAGCTGCGTGTCTGTCTGAGCTGATTGGTTTGAACCTCACCTGATTCAGACAAAGTTTATGCCATGTCATACACAACAAATGCCGAGCAAGTTTCATCAGGTCTTTATTTATTAGCCATGTGTTGCTACAGACATGCACCAATATCAGTACAGACAGGACAATGTTGAATATGTAACTGAAAACAACCTGCAAATGTATATAAGATATACCTGTGGAGCAATATTTCATCATATTCCAAAAACAGAACTTCCGGTGACCAGATATTCCACTTTATGTGAGACTGGACATAAAGTGGAACCCTTACTTAAGCCCTTAACTCCCTCCTCCTATATATTCATATATTTAGACAATGTCACACATTTTAATTAGTTCTATTAGTTCTTGTTTACCAAACTCATCTCCTAAAAGTCTCACAAAAAATAGAACAAGAAAAATGATCAATAATAGATTTGCCAGTATATATGGATGAACACCTTTTCAACTCCAAAGATGAATACTAGACAGAACAGTGTTGTCCGTTTAAATATTCTGAACAACTGAACATGAGGTATAACCCTTAGTCTCTGGGTTCAAATTCACACAGGCCACATTGTGCCTTTTCCCAACATTTAGTTTCCTAGGATCTGGTCAACCTAACAGCCACTGCATAATTAAACTTGTTTTTGAAATAATCATTATTATAATTTCATGCAGAAACATTTTAGGTTGTTGAATACTCCCCACATGCATGGAAGAAGGTGATGTAGCGACCATGAAGATATGGAAAACAGTATGTTATCTGCATGTCACATGCAAAACAAATGATTGTTCACTGCAGTGCCTAACGTAATATTTAACAGATGCATAAAGCAGAATAAATATGTACTACAACACATGAAAATAAAAACATAACACCCATACCCAAACAATATGGAAAATCAGATGATAACACATGACCTTAGGTGACATGGATACATATCAATATCAGTATGTGTAAGTTCTGTAGATACCAAAATAAAATCAATCAATCAGTCAAAACACAGTGAAAATGGGTGAGAGACAGAAAACTGGAAATACCGCTTCCTAGGACTGAGTAGAGGCGCACTTCATTACAACATGCCGACTTGATGACGAAAATAAAGGGCCGTTATCTTGTCCATAAAACACGATAATCAGTTCAAACATTACTGCATGTCAGAATATTTGTTTATAGTCTGATACAGTTTATGATATGATAAACTCCTTTTGACAAAAAGCATAAAGGTCAACATCCATGTTGGTCACAAAAAACAATAGTGCTTAAAATGAAGCTTTCATATAGCATTTTGCAGCAAACTACATTGAAAGCAAGAGTACATTATTTGTCTACCTGCACTCATGGAAGACATTTTACAGAGAGATATGGAGAAAAAAAATACAGAGAAGAGTTGAAGATTTTAACTTTCAATCCTCAAACTGAGTGGTGTTGTCATTTAGAAGAACATGCCAACGCTCAATCTTCTTGTCTTTATTCTTGAGGCATTCATACCAGTGCTTCAAACACTCTCCTTTAGCCTGGATGCCTAACTGACAGCCACCTGAAGGTAGAAAGGAAACCATTATAAAAGATGAATATTTGTCTATTTCATTATGTACAAGCTTATTTCTAAATTTATAATACTTGCAGTGGCAGCATGTTCACATCTGAGGGTTCCTAAAACAAGGCAGATGTATAGCTGTGGGCTAGGCTTTAGAATTGTGTAGTGGTCAAACTGTGCTAAGATCAGTCAATGGTTTTCTGATAATTGGCCAACTTCTATATAAATTGCCTGGACAGAAAAATGAAAATCTTTGTGACACTAATAAGTCTAATAATGCACAACATTAGGAGCTTACAGAATTGACTGCATGTAAAAGACAGACACAGATACGTGGTCTTATAAGTGAAACCTATGCAAGAAGGGCTTCAAATCTTTGTCTTTGAACTCGCCAGCAAGGGGGTTCTCTGGTAGGAATAAAAGTGACGGTTATATATGTCTGTGGGCAAACAATTCTCAGCAGTTCCAAGTGAGTTCATGGCTTTTAATACTGGTTTCAAGTTATACTAACTACAACATTAAGTTCTTTTTATAGTTTATGGTACTTATTAGAGTCAGAAAAGAGGATAAACCAGAGCATTCTTATTAGCTAACATCCTGTGATTGACTAGTCATTAGAACACTCAGATCCACCCCTCACTTTCAACATCCAAAACACCATGGTGATGGCAGTTACAACAGCCAGATTGTGGCTTCATGACTGGACTTAACTAACAAATACGTGATACAACAGTGGCTACATCAATACAGTAGTGTAACAAGTGTGTGCCCCCTTCCCGATTTCCTAATGTTTTTCATATTTGTTACACTAACATGTTTTATATCATCAAACAAATTTTAATATTAGCCAATGATGTCCTGAATGATTGAGTTGAGCTCAATTTCACTGTTCACTGCTGTCTATCAAAACATCCTGAAGGAGAATGTCCAGCCATCTGTTCAAGCTGAAGGGCACTTGGGTTCTGCAGCAGGACAAATGATCCAGGACGCAATAGTAAGTCCACCTCTGAATGGCTTAAGAAAAACTAAATGAAGACTTTGGAGTGGCCTAGGCAAAGTCCTGATCTGAACCCGATTGAAATGCTGTGGCATGACCTTTAAAAGGTGGTTCATGCTTGAAAACTCTCCAGTGCGACTGAATTACAACAAGTCTGCAAAGATGAGTGGCCCAAATTTTCTCTGATTGGTAGTTATCGCTAACGCTTGATTGCAGTTGTTGCTGCTAAGGGTGGCCCAAGCAGTTATTAGGTTTAGGGCACAATCACTTTTTCATTCAGGGCCATGTACGTTTGGATTTTTTCCCTCTCAATAATAAACACCTTCATTTAGAGACTGCCTTTTGTGTCTAAATTTGTTTGATGATCTGAAACATTTAAGTGTGACAAACATACAAAAAATCAGGAAGTGGACAAACATCAATAAGGATATGTGATCAAAGTTATTAACTTACCAATAAAATCATTGGATTTCCCCATGTCATAGTCCCAGACTGAGATGTCAAGTGTTTTCTTGGCTAGCTCACCATGCTTAATTTCATAACTGAACTCCTATAACATAGTGACAGAAGAAAGTTTATTACAAAACTGTGAGTGAAATCTGGATGGGCAGAAAATGGCAAAATCCGCAGACTCACCTCATTAAACTCTGGGTTAAGTGTCTTCTTTTTGATCTGTGTCTTGTTTTTAGCTTTCTTTCCCATGTCTGGCTTGAGACATCTATCAAAGAGGACAGAACAACAAAGGTAAAATGCCATCCCTTGGGAATGAAGTTCAAGATTTCTGGGAATGTTTATTTACTTTGTTGAGCTCACTGACTTTGCTCGAAAATTTAACATCTATTTAAATGTTAACGAAGCACATTTCAACAGTTAAGTCAGATTAGCAGTGATAATCATAATCAGAAGTCTATTTTGAGTTTATTGCATATTTTTAACTTTGACGGGTCTAGGCTAGTTAACTTAAGAAACTGCCACTCCAGCTTCATATTTACTGAGGAGGCAAGATGTGTTACTGATACTTGTGTCCAATTCTTAGCAAAGCAAAGTTAAAAAAAAACAAACAAATGAAAAAAGGATTTCCCCACTGTCATAGAGAGTTTATCTATGTAGTGACATTAGTGCAGATGCAGCTGGAAAAAACACATACACTTTGACAAACGGGTCAGAGTATCCATTGGAGTCCATTGCAGCCAGGTGAGCACATCGGACCACACCCACTATCAAATGACTCTGCTGGCTGTTGTACATCAATGATATCAAGATACGGCCCCTCTCCTCTGAGTTTTCAACTTCTTTCAGCTGTGAACACACATGCGTAAGTGACATGTACCAAATAACTTTAACATAAATAAATGAAAACTATTTCAACAAATTTGTCTTTGTAGTAAACACACTAAAATATGTCACTGGGATAAATCTCTACCCAAAAGTTCACCATGGAGTTCCACAGGGTTCTGTCCTAGGACCTATGTTTTACTCTGCGATGGCTGGAGAATTTGCATCTGTCTAAAATGTAACTAGAAGTACAAATAAGGATAAAACTATGAATTTTTTTTTTTAAGTAAGTTCTGTTAAATAAGTTCCTCCACATTTGATGGTCTTCAGCATAGATCTTGGTTTTCAGGCACCCCACAGATTTTACACAAATCTTCACATATTATTTTTTCCTCATGAGTCCTTCCACCTTGACAAGATTCTCTGTTCCAGACGCATTGAAGCATCCCCACAGTATAATACTCTTAGTGTACTCCTAGTGTGTTTCACAATGTGGATAGTTGTCTTTGGGTTGTGCGCCACTTCCTTGTTTCTCTAAACATAAGCAGTGTCACTGTGACCAAAGAGCTCTATTTTCAGCTCATCTCACAAAAGGATGCACGCAGTATCCAGCATCCATAATCTTTCTCCAGCCTGTGTTTACTTAGCAAGTTTTTTTTACTGTCGTAAATTGGACGATAACACTGAGTTTTAGCGTCATTTCACTTGAGACTTCATCTCAAGCCACCAGCTGCTTTCTATTACAGAAATGTTGGGATTCTCTTTTTAATACAGTAAAATCTTGAACCTACTTTGTAAAGCAACATGTTCTTGCTTTGTTTATTTTTTTATATAGTGCCAATATGAGTTGAAGTTTTTCTCTTACTGAACTGAAAACTCATAGTTTTTGCCTGGATAGTGATGCAACCACTTTCATGCCTTATTTGAAAGACAATAAACCACAATTTGAGTATCTACTGAGGCAAAGTGTCCTGTTCACAAAATCACATAGTAAGATATCTGTATAACTTACTGAAACTCATCAGACCAGTTTTATGTAAGATAACATGAGACAAAAGGATTACTGGGACAGAAAAAAGTGAGATCTACCATGGCTGTTAAATGAATATAACTGATGACAGAAAAAGTTAAAAATAAATAAATAAAAAAATGATCAGTAACATCTGTCTGATATAATTAACATAGAATGTGATCAGGTCATTGTCTGGCACAAAGGCAGTTCACAGCAGTGGTTAATAAGCAGTGGTAATACTTGGCTTCACCATAAGAGCTGAAGCCGGGGAATCTGAAGAAACTACTTTAGGCTACAGTACATATATACATACATCCTTCAGATAAAACCTGAAAATAAGCAAATGCAAGATACATCGAATAAAAGAACATAAGTAACATCAGTATAGAAGATGTCTGTAAAAGGAACAGTGGCCTTAAGTATATTACCTGATTTTTTATTTGAAATTGTGTAATGTTATATATTTTACATTTACACAAATGTAGCTTATATGTTTTAATTTCTATTTTTTAAATACGTATATTAACTAATGCACAGTGGTGAGATCTATGTGAAGGTCTTACATCATCCTCATAAAGAGCCATGCCACGGATGGATCCTCCTACAGCCTTCTTCACCTGTACAGAGAGCAAACCATCATCATTGTCATCATCATCCTCATCATGATTGAAGCTAGAGCCTTTATCATTAGTTTGTGTGTATAGAAGTAAAATAGGAAATGTCCCTGTTCAAGGACTACTTCAGCATTTCTTAGTATAAGAACTAAAACCCGGGAAAACAGCTATTTAAGCACGGTTAAAGATCAGTAAGTAACATGTTGTATCCCATTTCCATAGACCATACAAAACTTAAGGTGTCAAGCAGAATCCAGTCATACTGTAGAAAATGCTTCCCTGTTTCCAGTATTTATGAGAACTTTTCAAACAATTCGTCAAAGACTTTCACTTCTACAATGTGTGGCCTGCAAACTATATGGACAAAGTATTGGGGTACCTCGTAATCTTTAATTTCAGGTTTTGTCAGTGTGCATGCCACAGGGTAATAAAACTGGACACCAAGCTATGCATACTTTTTCCATATACACTATTAAGTGTATATGTATGCATAAAGTACAAAATAATACAATTTATCTCTTCAAGTGTCTAGCCATTTGTGATTAAAACATTCACGTTTAGATCCATTTAAGGTCCACCTGAAGATGTTCAGTTTTCAATGAATAAAATGTTATTATATGAGCACTATAAATAATAACTGTTTTAAAACAGCTGCTCTGGTGGTTAATCCTACTAGAGGATCAGCAGACAGACCTATCACGAAATTATACATACCGAGAATTCCATTTATACTAATGTTTTTAAAAGGGAACTAATGCATCAGATGTATTCTTGGCCACCAAAGTAGTTTTTGTCAGGGTTCCTGGGTGGTTCACCAGCTGTATTCAGTTCATGTTCAGTTTATGTTCCACATTCATATTTCCCGCTTCACCGTGCCAGCCCTCTGTTTCAGTGTCATTAGTTCTACTTCCTGTTTCATTATGTTCAGCTGTGTTCTCACCAGTCCCTAATCATCATCATTAGCCAGTGTACTTAAGTCCTCAGTTTCATCCTGGTCTTTGTCGTCTCATTGATGTTAATGTTGTCTACTCTGCACGTGTGTTCAGTTCAGCCAGTCATTTCAGTTCAGCGAGCCATCTTATGTTCAGCTCACCTGCTCGTCATAATAAGCACCAGCCTTCACCTACCTGTGAGTCCAGCGTTTGGGTCCTCCTTTCCTAGCATCCACACACAACACCCCTGACAGTTTTGGGTGATTTGTGGTTTTAAAAGATTCTCATTTGTTTTATACTGAGCCTTGGTGCAAGCTCTCAGTTCATTCACTATCTGAAACAAGCTGTTTTAACTCGCTCCCCCCTTAAATTCAATTTCTTTTCATTTGTTGTCCCTTAAGCAAGTTTAAACCGAAGCAAAATGGGACTTATGCAGCTATAGCCAGAGCTGTGTCCCCTTGGTGTCCCTAAGGTAACCAATTACACTGTAATGAGTAATCTTGTGGACCAAACTGACCACGTACCTACACCAAGCGGAAAATGTGAAGATTTCACTCGATTGCAAAAGTACTTTATGCCTTTGGAAGCAGCAAGTTACTAGTGCTTTACTAAAATGTCTAAGGAAAGAACAAGATAAGATGTTCTGAACTGCTTTGTCATCCTCTAAGATGCTGTTTTGCACCAAAATACAAAACAATGTGTAACCTTCATTTCAGATAATGTGTGACTCACAGTTTATCTCACATCTCTTGTGATCTGTACTCATTTTTGCATCTCATGTACTTGAGCTGTGCTGTGAGTTCATCTGCCAGTGCTGAGTTAAACTTACAGAAAAACAGTAGCTAACTGTGTGCCTTATTAAGCAAATATTTAGAGCAGGTCAAAACCTCATCGTATTGTCGGTTTTGCCCTCAGACTTACTGGGATCACTCTCTCCAAACAAACACTGAAGTTCTTCTTCTCATTAAATTTCAGTTTCTTGAGGGCCACTCGTGTCTCTCCTATGAATTCATTGTGTCCAAACTTGTCCTCGTCACTCACCGAAAGCCTGCAAACAACAAACGATGCACTCCATGAAAGCCTCTATTTTGATATAAGTAGCAAATCAGTGTTAAAGTATGTAAAAGTCGTTCATACCGGAGGGTTTTGCGTGACATTTCTTCATCTGTGATGCCATGGTAAACCAGGGTTTCATTCCAAACAGGATTCAAGGTGTTTTTAAGTGTCTTGGTACGAAGCTTATTAGACTAAAGATAAGAAATTCAGATGAATTTCTCAAGTAATAAAAGAAACTGAGGAATAACTGAGAACCAATGCCCATCAGAACATCAAACACTTAGCTCAAAGCAAACTGATTATTCTATTTCACTCAAAATGACACAGTACTCCTATCAGCGATGTACCAGCCAACCTAAATTTAAGGCTATGAGCATTAGTCAGTTTGTTATTGCAATATTATATAATATAAGAGCATTTCAAATCAAATAAATTCACCAAAACACCATCTTCTCAAACAGGATTGTCATTAGGAGCTTTCTAACACTGTATTTACATTTATTGGGTCACATTGCGTACATCCCATCCTCCAATTTTCTGCTAATGTCAATTTCTGTTAAATTAATACAGTTGGTGAAACAGTTAATCAATCCTCTGCTGAATTTATAAATTTTCTTAATTATAAAGAAATGAACAGTCTTAACATTTCCATCGTAGCTTAATTTTAACGGAGAGAAAAATCCAGAAAAAAATCACACATTTTTTCTGTTTGCACATATTTACAAAACTCTCTGAATCTTTACGGTTTTTCAACTGCTCCTCGGCAATTTGAAGCTATGATCTCTCCATAGATTCTTTAAATAATTGAAGTCTGGCGACTGGTGTGGTCACTCCATGATCTTAATGTGCTTCTTCTTTAGCAACTCCTTTTGTTGTGATATGCTTTGGGTCATTGTTATGCTAAAAGAGCCATCCATGTGTTTTGGCTGAGGGAAGGAGGTTGTTGTCCAAAATTTTATGGTACCCGATGGACAGGTAATCTGTGTGTCTTGTGGGTGCTGCAATATTTCAATTACAATCTAGTGTCTTACCAATGGTGTTCTGGGTGACTGTGGTGTCAAATGTCTTCAGATCATTAACAAGGTCCTCCCATGTAGCTTTGGGCTGATTCAGCACCTTTGTCATTATCATTCTCACCAGGCAAGATCTTGCATTGAGCTTGAGGGTGACCAATGGTCATTTTATAGTCTTCCATTTCCAAATAATTGCATCAGCAGTTGTCACCTTTTCACCAAGCTTCTTGCTGATGGTCTTGTGACCCACTGTAGCCTTAGCGCAGGTCTACAGTCTTCTCACTGATTTCCTTTGACAGCTCTTTGTTCTTGCCCATGGTAGTGGGGAGGTTGGAATGGAAGAAACTGATTTTGTGGACACGTGTGCTTTATAACAAATTGAGATCAGGAATATCTAAAAAATGATTAACTGATTGACTGTAATCTGAGAGCCACACAGGTACACAGCAAATCTGTGGGAGCCAGAATTATTGGGGTGGGGTGGGGGGTTGAATTCTGCAAAACGTACAAATTCAGCAGGGAATCAAATAATTACTTCCTACCCTGTATATAGGCAAAATTTTCCTGGCTATTCTGCCATATTTATTTGTACATAAAGATTAGCTTGTTGTTTTTAAAATCTTACTTCTTAAATGAGTAAAATAAATAAGTAAGCATGTAAATACCTTACTGGCTCCAGGTAACAGGTGCAGCTTAACATATGGGTCTGCAAGTCCATTTGAGTCCATTGCTTTTAAACCCTGAAAAAAACAAGAAACACAATGCTTGGATTCATTCGAGATGAAAATGTTATTATTATATTATTATTTTTGTTTGTTTTTATTGTTAACGTCTCTCATTTGACCTTGTTCTGTCTTGTGTATACACTGTATTTAAATATGGATGTAAGTTCAGGGTTTGAAAATGAAGCCTTAGTTTCTAAATTATGGCTCCCATTAGTGTCTACAGTGATGACAAAGCATTGCATGCTCTATGTGACCCACTTTGAGATTGACAAGTCTCAAAGTAGACTCAGTCTCTGTGCTTGTGACATCGGGTTTCAGAATGCTCAATGAAAACATTAAGCTCCTTATTTCTTCTTGTCTATTCTCATTTCTTCTTGACATGGCATGTCTTGTCCCAATTGTCCCTTCTTGTTCTTCTTGTCTCATTTTGTCCTGTCCATTATTAGTTTGGTTGGACCTGAGATGTTTTGTTTTGGCACATATTTTCCTGTGTTGTATTGTGTCCTTTTGTCTTCTCCTTTCAAGTACTCATTTACCTTGTCCCACTTTATAATTTTTATGTTGTTGCTTTTCCAGCCATCACCTTAAATGTTTTGTTTTGTCTTATCTTCCATATGGTCTGTTTTTATGAGATGAGATGAGATGAGATGAGATGAGATGAGATGAGATGAGATGAGATGAGATGAGATGAGATGAGATGAGATGAGATAGCCTTTATTTGTCAGTTGCAGGTCTTTTGCCCACAACCGAGATGACAGACCTTGCCGACCGTACATACAATACACAAACATCACATTGGGGAGACAGGTCAGGCTAGGTAGCGAGGAAAAAAACATCGAAATGTGTAACACAAAAGGATAATACAGGAATGCACAGATATCAACACAACATAGCACAATAAACACAGACAAGCAACATGGGAAAGTGTTCCAGTGTGTACATCTGATCTGGGATCGCTGCTATCTTCGACTGCGCCTCCAGCTGACCCGATGTCCACATCAGAGGGGAGGTAAGCGTTGGAGGTGGCGTTGGATCCGGGGTAGGGTGGGTGATGCGTCAATGAGTGCTTATCAGTATCAGTATATGTATGTGTGTGCGTGTCCATAGTTCAGCTGAGACAGTGTCCTTCACCCTGCCAGGCTAAGTAAACAGTTTTCCAGCCAACCCAGGTAGCCTTGCATGGAATGGGAAGGAACAGACTCAACACAGTCGTTATCAGGGAGTTTTTGTTCGGCTCCAGCCTTGAGCCCACAGCTGGCGCCAAAGGGGTAGCTGGATTATGATGGTAATTTTTCTTTTGCAACAACTCGTGAGAATTTCAAAGCTGTTCTTTAACACTCCGACACTGGTCTCTCAATCTCCCGTTGGAGAACCGCGAGCTTCCCCATGATGGTATCAAACTTGCGTTCCGTGGTGTTGTCATTCTTTTGCTCAGAGAGCCGATTCTGAGAACTCACGACTGCAGTCAGCTGTTCCACGATGTAATCCAACTTAACAAAGGTGTTATTCTCAGCAGGCCTCTCCCTGATGTAATCCAATGTACACTCAGAGGTGTTATTCTGAGTATTCACGGCAGCTGTAAGCGTCTCCAAGGTCTTATCCATACTGCTCTCAATGAGCCTGTTCTGAGAAGTTGCGCCTCGTCCCATCGTTTCAATCCCAGCAGGCAGCCTTGGGGGGGTTTGAACAGCCGGTTCCGCTTTGTAATTCTCAGATAAGCCAGGGCCAAGCCAGCTCCGATCAGCAAAAACCCTGTTATCACGGTTCCGAATAGGTAGATATCTTCAGCGTCCTCGATCGACAGTCCCGCCAGGCACACGATCCTCCATGTCTGCCACCCGTCCATCGTGTATCCGGCAGGAAAGTCCCTCCAGGGCACTCGGGCTCCCCCGAGCCCAGACTTCTCGTTGAGAAAAAAGGGTGTCAATAGCATTCAGAGACCAGTTGATCAAATCCATAATTCTCTTTAGGTTTTAGAAACAGACTGTGAGAGAGTGTTCCAGGGAAAGTAATACAAAAAACACAAGACTAGACAAGGACATAAAAACTAAGCAGGGAAGATAAGGGAGAGGAGAGGAGAAAAAGTGCGTCCGCAGAGCCAAAACACAGATTTTATCTTGTCTAATCTGTCTGCATAATATTATTATTACTATATCATTTCCAGTCTTCATTAATAATGGATTGCATTTATATAGCGCTTTTCGAGACCCTCTAAGCACTTTATAATTCCACTATTCATTCACTCTCACGTTCACACACTGGTGGAGGCAAGCTACAGATGTAGCCACAGCTGCCCTGGGGCAGACTGACAGAAGCGAGGCTGCCATATTGCGCCATTGGCCCCTCTGGCCATCACCAGTAGGCGGTAGGTGAAGTGTCTTGTCCAAGGACACAACGACCAAGACAGACAGAGCTGGGGATCAAACCGGCAACCTTCCGGTTACAAGATGAGCTTCCCAACCCCCTGAACCACGTCGCCCGAATTACTTATCTTGTCCTATTTTAACTGATCTTTTATTTTGTGTTGTTATCTCATTTCTATTGATACATGTGTATGAGCGTTCACCTTAGCTTTAACAATACCGCAGTGTAGTGCATGGTTCTCCTGTTCATAGAGTAGACTGAACTCCAGAGATCCCAGAGTGGCTGTAAGAAACACACAGACATACACGTTGCAAAAAATAAAAGTAATAATACATTTGTCTTCAACAAATAAAGGTTTTAAATTTTGAGGAATAATCTTACTGGCATCATCTGAGTCATAGTCATTGTTGTCTTCCTCTGTTCGATCTGGTGGGGGTCTGGGAGGAGCAGGGTTGTTGGCAGGTGGGTTAACAGGTGGACCAACTCTGGAGACAGGCTTATGAGATGAAACAGAGCCAGAGATAACAGGTGGTCTTTTTTCCTCCACAGCTGGAGGGGGCAATGTTTCTTGTCTTTCCGCGTGATGGTTCTCCATACCTGCAGCAGGTACTTGAGATTTTATAAAACATAATCAGCAGTTAACACAATCTGAAGTGTCTTTTTATGTATCAGTGTTCATTTGGAACATTTAGAAATTAGCCTTGTAGTGCTGGGCTTATTCTTAGAAGGATCAGTGTGACTTTACCTGAGTTAGGGGTTGTGTGCTCTGTGTTTGCCTGAGGTGGTTTGGAGGCTGACACATGTCTCTCTGTCTTCATTACAGCGGCTGGATGGGAATGACCCTCATTACAACTGTCAGCTGTTGTTTTTGCTGTCTGTTCCCATTGTTCTGATCCAAAAGACTTGTGCTGCTGTGACCCTGCAATGCGCTCTGGGAGTCAAAGTAAGATTATCATCACTGTTAGAATAACAACGACATGTTTCACTTCAATAGATGCATTACCGAATGGGACTGCCAGGTCCCCCTGGGACCACTAATATTTCATGGTGGAAAGTTACAACTCCAAAAGACAGAAAATAACCACAAAGAGACCAAAAAAAAACCAAAAATTAGTAAAGTGGTCACAAAGAACTTAAGTACCTCTACCTTTGACACATTGCACCATACTGCTTCAGTTCCTCATGTGGGTGGTGGGTGCAGGACCAACCAGAGCCAAGCTGGGCCCTGTGGGTTAGGGCCTAGTCACCAGCACTCTCCCCCAGGTCTGACTCCAGGAGACTCCCAGTAACCCTGATCCAAGCAAACTGCCATTGCCATGCCATTGATATCTTCTGAATTGTACTTAGTTTGGCCCTCACCTCAGGTGAGCAATCAGGTTGCTTTGGGAAACCCAACCAGAGACAAATTGCTCTGGTATCATTAGGGATCAACCTCTACCACAATAAGGTGGCAATTTTCCCCTTTTTTTTTTTGTCTGACAACACCTTCAAAAACAAGGAGATGCATCCCAAGATGTTTATACGCTAATTCAGCTTTTAAATAAAAATAAAATAAAAGAAGCATATCTCTGGCATAAGATCAAAAGACAACTCGTATTTAGCTCTTATGGTTTTTATCAGTTCTTAAGAGGCATATCTGAAAACCCATGCACAAATGTGAGAAACATTCACTTCCAAAAAAATACCGTATCCCTGATGTGATCCACTGTAGCCTGCTGGAGTAGAGCAGTTTTCTGTGCTCGACTGTCCAGGTCTGGACAGAGGAAGGGGGGCAGGCAGACCCAGTTGCTCTCTTCCTTTAAAGAACCAAGCTCCTGAACGCTTCTGTACCTGCAGTAACACAAAAATTTGCATCACTGGAATATTTTGCAAGAATGGAAACAGCTCACACGATTCAAACATGTGTAACATGTGTTACAGGGACAGTGCTTTGGCAGATATTGTATAGACATACTGTGTTTTTAAGCATAGCTGAAGTCAGTTTCTAGTGGCCAAAATTTTAACTCCAATTTATTTATTTAATTTGAATTCTTTTATTTGATGCAAAAACATGACCTCTTTGTATCTGCAGAATTACTGAGTACTTATTCTGTATGAATGATAGGAATGAGCATTTGTTTAAAGAGTTTGGGCTCCCCAGGGCAGCGACCTCAGCAAGCACAACATCATCATAAAAACAGAATTGTGTAACAGTATTATCGTGACAAAAGACTAATGGCAGACTAATGTGGCATAACATGGTTGGTGAATCTGTTCTTCATCATTCCTTTTCCTTCACCTCTATCTGTTCATTGCAGATCTGGCACAGCCACACAGGGCATGTCCTGCTGTTGCTTGAAATTCCACACTTGGTACACATATGCTGCAGGAAAGGAAAAATAGACATTAAGACATACTCGTGCACAGAGTTGCAGTGTCACACAGATTTAGTCTTCAACAGCAGGTGCGCATAAAACATAGGTGTCAAACTCTGGCCCGTGGGCCAAATTTGGCCC